CTGATTGTTTCAGTATGCTATAAAGTATCTAAAATAACAGCGCTGGTTAGAAGAGAAGGAAAAAGTTTTTTTTTTTCCAAACTGTCTTTATGTTCTATCTCCCTTAGAAACTTGATTAATTCTGAGAGGATTTTGTGCTGGTGAGAAGGGAGAGAAGATTTCCTTCTTAAAAAAGAGTCTGTCTGCGTGGGAGAATGGCTTTAAAGCAGATAACAAAGCTGTTTGGGGGGGGTCCCCTACTCATAAGTTACAAGAGCAGTTTTTAAGCACTGATTTTAAAGACTTGAAGGAATTTATTATTGTGCTTATGGACCAGAAGTTTGAGAAATTTCAACAGGAAACTAAGAAACTGGTGCAAGAAGGCATGATAAGATGAAGCGAGATTTTTTGACAGTTCTGACTGGCTTCTCAGAAATAATTCTTCAGATTGATAAAAAAATCGAAGAAACCAACTTAGAAGTAGAGTCTAAAATGAAGGAAGCTGATTATAAGATCTATAATGTGGATAATAAAATGCAAAGGATTGAAAATGAAGTTACAATGATGCAATTTAAATTTATGGAATTTGCTGTAAGACTGAGGGGGATAAAGGAAAATAACAGAGATTTGAGAAGGATCTGTGCTGATGCCTTGGCTGTGATGTTAAAGGTTAGCCCTGAAGAGGTTCTGTCCAAAATTGATAAGATTTACAGAGTGAATTCTTGGGTAGCAAGACAAAGGCAATTGCCCAGAGATGTAGTGATATATTTTACAGATAAAAGAATAAGAAATGACATCTTGCAAAAGTCTTTTGTTTCTACCCTACAAGTGGATGGAAGGCAGATTGGGATTTACAAAGAGTTGCCGCCTAAGATGTTAAAAGACAGAAAAGATTTTGGATTTTTGGTGATTGAACTAAAGAAACAACAGATTCCATACAGATGGGATGTCCCAGTTGGCATAAGATTGATGTATCAAGGAGAAAGATATCGATTAAATACTGTTGAAAAAGCGGAAGAATTTTATTGCAATGTTTTTAAAATTGGCCCAACATCTCCACGTATATTGTCAGCGTCAGGAATACAGGAGGGAGATAAAGAAAAGCAAATTGAACAAAAGACTAAAGTCCAGTGGAAGCAGATGGAGGTGGAGCCAATGGAAATGCAAACTACAGGGGGCTCTTTGGATGACTCGCGTTTGGATTATCCTTTAAAGGTTTTAGCTGGACCACTTAAAAACACAAGAGAAGCGGCTGTGGATCTTGATCTAATGTCCTGCACAGTTAAAGATCAGCATACAACTCAAACAGCATCTAAACAAAATTTTTTTTTTTTAATTTGATTTATATGCCGCCCTTCTCCGGAGACTCAGGGCGGCTTACAGTGCGTTAAGCAATAGCCTTCATACTTTTGTATATTTATACAAAGTCAGCTTATTGCCCCCACAAACTGGGTCCTCATTTAACCTACCTTAGAAAGGATGGAAGGCTGAGTCAACCTTGAGCCTTGGAGAGATTCGAACCAGCAGTAAATTGCAGGCAGCTGTGTTAATAACAGGGTGCTTTAAACCACTGTAGTACCAAGGCTCTTCCAGAATTGCCTCAGAAAAGCAACAACAGCAGAGCTTCAAGCCACCACAAGGCAAGAAAAAAAGCAGGTTCCACAAAACTAGAAAGTTTTAGACCAATACTTCTTTTGAATATGGATTATAAAATTTTTGTAAAACTATTATCCAACATATCAATGCCACTTATCTAAGAACCGATTTATGTTTATGTAGGACTTATAGAAGGCAGATATATGAAAGATAATGTGAGGCAAATTATAGGCTTATTGGACTATCTTGAGAAGAATAAACAGATCCCTGCAGTGCTGGTGTTTAAGCATGTGGAAAAGGCCTGTAATTGAGTGAATTGGAACTTTCTATTATAGATTTTAAGAAAGATGGATTATGTGTACGTTGAAGGGAATAATTATGAGGCAAGAGGACTACGGAACAAGGATATTTGCAGTTGATCTGGTTGTTACCCTAACACGATTGATGGAATTAATAATCTAGATGGAAGATTTTGCAGAAGATATTATATGGAATATAAATATAAAGTCACTCGGGGGTTTTTTATACATAAAAGTATTTCTTAACGATGTGGGCAGATGGCAACTAAAGACACTAAATACTCTGTTGGAAGAAGGATCTGATGTGATTGTTTAGATTTTATAAATAATTATATATGGCAGACCTGCGGGAAAGTGGGTGAAACAAAACTGATAGGGTATATGGTGATAGATTAGGTTATACTGGAAAAGGGATGTTATTGAAGAATGGACTCTGAAGCTGGCTAGTCTTGTAGAAATGGTGACGTTATCAGCATATATAAAAGACCGGACACAAGAGATTTATGTAAGGGAGTGGAGGATAGGGATAGATTATGTGTAGAATAAATATTAAACTAAGAAGTATTAGATAATTTTTAGATGAATGTTGTCTAGAAATGTATAGTTTACAGGGGATAGTATACTAGAATGTCAGGAAGAAATGTATAATTAGATTTCATTCTGGGGAAGCCATGGGGGGAGGGGAGGGTAAGGGAGGGTAAGGGAGGGAAAGGGGGGGGAAGGGGGAAAATTTGTATTTGTAAAACTTTTTCAATAAAAGAAGAAAGTTGTCAGGCTAAAAAAAAAAAAAAATGACTGTGGAACAACCCCAAGTGGGAAAAAATAAGTACAAATTGGGAAAAAAAGTATTATACATATTGATACATAAAAGAATATATTATCATTATAATGAGCATATTAAAGTTAGAAATTGGAAGATAAAAACTATGTATATCAGAGTTGGTATTCAGCCAGTTCACACCGGTTCACACGAACCATTGGCGGAAATTTGGCCAAGGTCGTCAAACTGGTAGTGATGGCTGGCTGGCCATGCCCCCGAACTGGTCCCCTGGTCACCACTCGCTCACCCTGCCCGCCATGTTCGTTACTGCCATGTTCTTTGCGCACATGCATCCGATTGCCTTGCAAGTCCAATGGGATGCGCATGCGCAAAGAACATGGCGGTGATGGCAGCAGCTTTTTCCGTGACTTCCGGTACTTTTCAGTGGCCTGCAGCCAGCCACCACCACAGTTCTCAAAGGGCTGGGGTCTGCCGAAAACTCTGGTCAGCTTGCCTTCCGGACTTTGGACCAACCACCGCAGAAGGTAAACAGCCCGAACAAAGATGCGGTGGTGGGGGAGGAAGGGAGGCTAGGGCTGGAGCAACTAAAGGAGGGTAAACGGGGGTGACTGGTGAAAGGAGGGTGGGGATAGATAGTGTCAAGTTCCTAACAGAAGAAAAAGAAAGACACAAACCTGGTCTGTTGCTACCTTCTTTATTTACTTCCTGGCATGTACTGACAATCAATGAAGAACTTCTTGTTAGGGCTACTGCCCATGCTCCCTGCCACCTTTTCTATCTTACACACCACCCACCCATTTGTGCTCAGCCACCCAATCACGTTCGCAGCTCCACCATGTGACCTGGAAATACAGACATATCACTTTAAACAGCATCTGCCACACCTTCTCCCCTGATCTACCCATCCTCCTGCCAGGCAATGTCATACCAGGAGGGCTCGATCCCCCCTCCATCGTTCCTAGGGAGTAGAGGAGCCAAGGAGGGGTTAGAGGGGCCAGGGAGAGCAGCGCCTGCCTCCCCTGCATTTCTGCCACTTCAGTCGGTGATGTCATCATCATGCGGCTGCCTCTCAGCCACATGGCTCCCCAGGAGAATGGCCGCACTCTCCAGGCTGTCTGGAGTGATCCTGGCATTGGAGCAGGTGAGGGGTGACTTGGGAAGGCAGCTGGAGTCTCCTGGCATCTTGGTGAGTCCTGCAGGGCGGTGGCTGTGCAGGCAAATGTCCGGTGCATCCTCCCTCCCGAATGGCAGCTCTGGGCCAGCTGGCATGCTGGAGCTGACAGATAGATGGAAATTCCAAAAATTTTCCTACCTTTTCCTGTGGACGTTGCTGGGTGGGGGGGTGTCATGTGACTGAGTGGGTGTGGGCATGAGTGACATCAAGTTGGCCACTCCTACTCAGTCACATGCCCCTCCACCTAGCCATGCCCACCGAACTAGTAGCAAAATAATTTTAAACCCACCACTGATGTATATTAGCATTGTTTAAAAATGTATTCACCCAGTCATTACACTGTCCACAAAATAACCCTAACCCTAACCAAAAAGAGTGAATCATGTAATTTGAATGCAACCACTCCCTGTTTTCACCCACGCATTCACTAATTGAATGCGGGATCATTAAGTGCATGAGTTATCTCAGTGTGGGGAAGGCCACGGGGGGGCCTAGTGATGGAACAAGCTCTCCAGGGCCTCCCCGACCTACTGAGATAACTCATGCTTCCCCCCTCCCATTCTGCCATGCTGGACTCACTTATCTTGCAAAGATCTGTCTCCTCTCAGCTGCGGTTTCTTTGCCTTTGAGGGGAAAGAGAGCAAGACGATTTTCCTTCCAGCATCTGTTCAGCTTGCAAATGTTTTTCACACTGAGAGTGAAAAGTTCTAGGGGCCATGATCTCACTCGACTTCAGGCACCCATCTGCTTTTGCAGAGAATGGGTGCCTGAAGTCGCACGAGATCACGGCCCCCAGAACATTTCACTCCCAGTGTGAAAAGCATTTGCAAGTCGACCAGACTCTAGGAGCAAAATGCATGGCAGGATGGGAAGGGGGAAGCAGTTGTGGGGAGCAGGGAGGAATAGGGTGAATGTTGCAGTGTCTCTGTGGTCATTCATAAGGGCAAATGACTGCTGTGGTGCTGCAACATTTATAATTTCAGGACTTTGTCGTAAACACTTGAGGGGTGTTATCGCGTAACTTCAAATGGTCACTAAATGAACTGTCATAACTTGAGGATTACCTGTACACACAAAACTAAGAGACATAGGAACTAGGGAGAACTTCCTCTGAAAACAAGGTATACTTGATTTAACTGTTTGTGGCAAAGAAATGTTGTAGAATACAAACCTGCATCTGTGCTTGTTCATCTGCATATTCAATTGATTGGAAAATAGTCAGGGAATATCGACGCCTCATTTCTAGCCGGGCCATGTAAGATCGATACCATCTTTGAATAAGGATAGTTGCTTTAATAGCTGTCAAAACAGGATGTGCCCCCAAAATAAGATTAATTGGCTACAACTAATTAATTATGCAGATTTTTGGCTCGAGTTTTAAAATGAATGAAATTCATGGAGCCCTGTATTTCATATTTGTTTCTCTTACATGCTTTCTTGTAAAATACAGAAGGGTAATCATTGAGGTTATAAATATCACTGCCTCTTAAACACAATGGTAATTATGTTTTAATTTGTAGGTAATGTTTGAGATCTGTGACTTTTTGTATCATTGTAAAAAGTAGATACACAGATTGGCAGATAGTACCAGAGGTGGGCTGCTGCCGGTTCGCACCGGTTCGGGCGTACCAGTTGTTAAGATTCTGTGCAGCAAATCCCACCCCACCCCACCCCACTCTATCTCACCTCGCCTGCCTTGGCCAGTGGCTAGAGTCACGCCCATGCCCAACTACTCTCTGGCTCCTTTGCTTGCTCTCCCAGACCATGTGGCCCAGCTGATCTCTGTGCCTTCCCCACTCTGCTCACTGTGGCTGCCCACGAAGGTAAGGCCCTCGAGCCTGTCTGTCGCCATCCTTCTGCCCACATGCCATCTGCTCGCCCTTCGCCTCAGGTCAGGGGATGCACCAGTCCCTGGCTCTAGCCTTCCCCAGGGCCTCCACCCGCATGTCACCCACTTGCCCTTCACCTCGGGTTGCAGGATGCAACAGTTCCTGGCTCAGGCTTCCCCGGTGCCTCTGCCCATATGCCGTCTGCTCACCCTTGGCCTTTGGTTGGGGGATGCGCCAGTCCCTGGCTCTGGCCTTCCCTGGGCCTCTGCCTACATACCACCCACTCGCTCTTCACCTTGGGTCAGGGGACATGCCAGCTGCCAGCCTTTGCTGGTGCAAGAAACCTGCAGCTGCCACCTCTTTACCGGTGTGAGAAGCCTGCAGTCACCGGTCTTTGCTGATGTGAGAAGCCTGCAGCCACTGGTCTTTGCCGGTGCGAAAAGCCTGCAGCCGCCGCTTCTGGCTCAGCTCCGGCCGGCAACGAGGTGGATGCTGCAGGCCCTTTGCACTGGCAAAAAGTGTGGCTGCAGGTTTCTCGCGCTGAAAAAGAGCGATGGCTGTAGGTTTCTCACAGTGAAAAAAATCAGCTACAGGCTTCTTGTGCTGAAAAAGACCAACAGCAGCTGCAGACCAGTGCTCAGGGTGGGGTCGTGTGCCGATCTGCACCAACAAAGGGCGGAAGTAGCCTCCCATCATTTCTTGCTGCAAAAACCTTTTTAAAAATCCTGAATGTCAGGCAGCGAGACCCAGCAAAAGATGAGGTGTCGGAGAATCACCATTGCTGTTGCTGAACAAAGGTAAGTGTAAGTCTCCGGCCACCGCTGCTTCGGCCCGCCTGCACTGCCCCACCTTGTCATGAGTGACATCGAATTGAGCATGCCCATTCAGTCACATGACCCCTTCTTCGGCCAAAAAGGTTGTAGAAAAAAATACTTTTAAAAGCCTCTGACAATCAGGCAACTCAGCTGGGATCGTCAGAGGCTTTTAAAAGCATTTTTTCCTACAATCTTGTTGGCCGAAAAGGTTGCAGAAAAAAATGCTTTTAAAAGGCTCTGACGATCCCAGCTGAGCTGCGCGATCATAAGAGGCTTTTTTTTTTTTTACTTTTAAAAGCATTTTTTTTGGCCAAAGAGATTGTAGAAAAAATGCTTTTAAAAGTAAAAAAACCAGCCTCTGATAATCGCGTGACTCAGCTGGGCATGAGGGGGCGCGCACAGGGAACCACCTGCTGCCATCACTACCAGATTGGGCAATCCAGTCCGAACTGGGAGCATTTCACCCCTGGTTGTAACCTGCCCTATACTATGACAGACTTGGCAGAGGAATGTGTTGCCCTTGGAGCTTTACTCTTATCATTGCTCATAATTTCATTATTCCAATTCTCATTCAAATAGAAATACTGCTTTGTTATTAAGACGATAAATCAAGACTCAAGGGATCTTATCAATGATGCCACCAAAGCACTTTCCAAGAGGAATTGCCCATATTCAGTATGTCTGAAGGAGCAAACTGAAAGATTCAGAATACAGTAGGTACCTAAGGCACTGAAAAACTCTCCAAGAATTCATATAAATATCTGGTCTTGAAGGGAAATATTGTGATCACATATGATATGATAAGAAATATCTATGAGTTAGAGAATGAAATTCTAAACTATTTGAATGTGACTCACAGCTTGCATTCACCTCTTCCAATACTTAATGACTAGTATACCTTCCTCTTTCTAAAATATATTAGTTTCATGATCCTTTTACTTTTCTATCTTTTGATTTTGTTATTTTCTTTGGATAGTAAAGCTTTCCTGTCTTATCTGTGCTCAATTTCATTTCTCAGTTGAGTTGTTACAATCACTTCCCTTCTAATATACTCTACAAGCTCTACTCTACCATATGCAGAAGCCACCTGGGATGAAAACCATTGACAAGTTATCACACAGTCTGTAATTTCATTGGGAGGACTTTTCTGTTTCACGGTTCACCTTGAATTTTTATTTATTTATTTGGAATTTATATTGCCGCCTACTTGCACATGGCAACTCAAGGCGGCTTACTAGAAAAACACAATATAAAAGAAATAAAAATTAAATAATAAGACTTCTTAAATTAAATTAAAACAATATTTCTTCAGAACTATATGGAAGTGCTAAAATTGAAGATATCCAATCAATGAAAGCATTCAAATTAATGTTAGAGTGATAATGGACATAAAGGATATCAAAAAGAAAATTAATCTTCCTCCCTCCCTCCCTTCCTTGTACAACATTTGGTGTCTATCTGAGCAAACATATGTACATACAGTAACTTCCTACAAAATCCTTATGGAGTAGATCTTCATGCATGCTTTTCCTTCATACAGGCAACAGACATCCTTGGAATGGCTACACAAAATCCTCATGTATACTTTTAACATGAGAAGAGATTCCATTGAAGTCTTCTTTGCTTTTTTCCTCTCCCTTTCCAATAGCTTTAGAGTCATCAGTTGTAAATATGGGACCCTTTTTCATTGTACTGGTGAGTATATTTGCAAAACATTTTCTTTTGGAATAGTGAAGCTATATTATTATAATACATTTATTTGTTATGTGAATAAAACAAATGCAATTCCAGTATAAAGTATTACAGAATATGAAACTGAATAAAAATTCCAGCAGGTTACTATTTACAAGCTTGCTCTTCTTTTTCCCTTGTACGTTTCATTTTCTATTTTTATTATACAATTATTTTAAAAGGGTTTTTTTATTCTCATATACTGGTTTTGTAGTGCTTGCTATGTGTTTATTGGAAGATGCAGGATATAAGCATGTTTCAGGAAGTTAATGAATTTTCACTGCTGTTCTTACAGTTACAGTTTTTACAGTTTTGGGGGGTTTTTTGTAACTGCTTCTAACTTTTTTATCTCTACCCCCTTGTTAGATACCTGAACTCTTAGGGGAAACAGCTAAGCTGTTTAAAATTAGTAAGTAATATAAATTACTGAAAAGGCAAATGGAAGAAGATAAGATAAATGAATACGATCCAATTCTACTTGAACCTATTCAAAGGTTTGGCAAAACTTACTCCCAGGTACGAAGGAACCATGATAAGGGAGATTGATATAACATAACAGTAATACCTTTAAACAAATGTCAGGACTTCAAGTAAAAGCTCCTGATTCTTGATCTTAATGTGCCTTCTATGCCAATGATTCTCAACCTTTTATATCTTGCATCTCACCAATTACTTTGTAAAAATGCTGGATCACACTCAAAACAATAAGGTATGAAAACAGAGAGGTGGGTTTACCTAGATAGTTATATATTTACCCACACACATGCACAAACAGCATAAAATAAATGACAAACATATGCAAATCGTACAACCACAAATTTACAGATTAAGAAACAGTACAATAGGATTTCTTGTTGCCATAGAACGATTGCATTGCACAAGTATGTTTTACCTTTTTTTGATTTACTTGTTTGGCTTTTTGTACCAGAAGTTCCACATCCCATGACTCAGTAAAGTAAAGGCTGAATTGCTGGTTTAAATTGTCCTTATTCTGGATGAATTCTTTAGCTGATAGCGATCCAACTGCACCTCTTTATATTAATCACAATATGCTGTAATGAATCAGTTCTTTATTTTCCCTAATAAAATAGAATGCAATGAACATTGATTTTCTATTGTCAGCTGCTAAAACACAATACAACATAATTGCCTGAGTCATCCGTACATCAGTGAAAGTAGGAGGGTTCACTGTTCTGTAGCTATTGTCCTGTCAGCTTAATGCGGATGACTCTCTTTACATCCCAGGATCAGAGTCAGGCAGAGAATCGTCATGTAATTATTGAGGGAAAAAGTCCAATGCAATTATATTGTAGTTCAATACAATTATATACATATGGGCAATGGATTGTTTTCTTAATTATTTTTTTCATCTATCCCCAAAATGAGGCATTTCAGTAGGATTATTAATGAATAAATGTGACCTAGGCACATAAAAGCAGGAATGGTCCCAGAATCATATGGGTCTCTGAGTCCTATTTTTCTGCCCTCAGAGACCTTTGACTATATAACTGCTGGAATTTGATAGCAGTTTCCCACCATTTTGTAATGCAGGCATTTCACAGCTTTTTTAAAAGCTCCAGAAATGTCAGATAGGCCCATACTATTTGCTGATACTATTTGCCATCTGTTTTATAAACCTCATATCCACACACCCACACCCAATATTAAGCTTTTCTCACAGCTGGAAAGAAACCCTTCACCAATATCAGATTTAGGGCTTATAGACATAGCTTGGCTACCAGGGGTGGGTTCTAAATTTTTTTACTACCGGTTCTGTGGGCGTGGCTTATTTTGTGGGTGTGGCTTGATGGTCATGTGACAATTCTTTAGGATTTAGCAGAGGTACTGGTCTACCAGGCTTTTAACTGCTTGCAGGGCTGTACCCGTCTACTCATGTATTTTTGCAGGCACTGATCTACCCATTTATTTTTGCAGGCACTGGTCTATTCATTTGTTTTTGGAGGCACCGGTCTACCACCAAACTGCCTTTTACCACTGATCAGCTGTAGGGTGGCCCTTTGAAGCCCCGCGGCAAGAGTTTAAACAGTTTTTTTCCTTATAGCCCATCAGCTGGGACTCAGGAGGCAGCAATAGATTGGGGGTGGGACCAAATAAAAGGTAAGAATAACTCAGGGGTGTGGGGGGGGACTGGGGGGGCAGAACCGGTTCGGTGACGTCATATCGTTACTGCTACCGGCTCAGCGGAACCGGGCAGAACCCACCCCTGCTGGCTACCCTATTGCCAGATCAGACCAGTAGCAGGAACAGACAACACCATAATTTAGTAATTACCCATTGACCATGGAAGCAATTTCAAAGCTCATTTTTTGGCCTACTTCTGAAATTCAGTTTCCCTTATAATGTTGCCTTGAGAGTTCCTGACTATTTAAAAGTGCTGCAATGAGCAGTTAGTTGGTTACTTTGCAAAAGTAAGGATCTACCTTCAACTAAATCACTGCTTATCAGTCTCTAGTATTTTTAAAGCTACCTTTACCATAGCACAATGTAAGCACATTGGTTTTCACACTAGTTCTGAAAATAGTTAATTACTGCTTTGAGGTCAAATCAAAACATTTTTTAAAAAAATAATATTTTTCTTTGAGTTCCTCACTTACATTGTGTAGAAAGTCAACCCCTCTCCCCCCAGAAGAATGAAATATTTTGGGAAATATTACAAAGGCAGACTATTGTATTTCCCTAAAGGAGTAATGGAGAAAACATCTAAAAGACAGAAAGCAGACTCAGTCTTTCTTAATAGTCCAGCAGATATTTTGTGCCCATTAAGAAAGATTGGGCCAGCCTATTCAGAAACCAGCCCCAGTTTCTTTGTCCCAAGCAGAAATCGAGGAGGCCAGCTTTTAGAAATGCAGATTTGGTAATCCATTCAGAAAGACTGGATCAAGACAGAAACTCAGATAAGTAACAAACAAAAGGTTGACAAAATTAGCTCAAACACCTTGCATTTCCTCTTTTGCCTATAGAGCCAGCTATGACCCCTACATAATCCCCATAGGAATCTGACAATAGCCAATAGAATATTAAAGGATATGTTCTTGCACAGGAACAGGAAACTCAAATACAAAGCCCAAACACCCCCCACTCTCAACTCCATTTTGTCAGCTACCAGAATCACATGTGGTTCTGCTTCATTAATAAACCATCTTTCCAATCAGCCTCCATGTTTCCAGTGTCTTTCTCCCAGCTTGGAACTGAACAAGATGGATTTTCCTCCCAACAATTTGGCACCCAAGATTTCAAGCTAACCTGACCAACGGACCTCGCCCGGATAAGCCTCCACCTTGCTGACAACAGACCCATTGTGTCTGTGGGTGGGTTCCCTCGGACCTTGGCAGTTTGGAGCAAAGGAAGTTTTGAGTTTTGAGCTCAAAGGCTGCTTGAAAAGAAGGTGAGTACATCTAAATTTTAACTTTTAAAATTAAAAATTAAAAGCCCAGAAAAGCAAGGGAAATGTATGTATGCTTGTGTGTGTGAGTGAGAGGATCCTTCTTCCAATCACAGCTGCATCCTACTCCCTCTGTGCCTTTCCTAACCGCAGAAACATCTGTTCTACCAACAGACCCTAGAAATTATGGGGGATTTGCCAGAATGCAGGACCTTCTGTTAGGGAAAAGAGAGAGGCTGTGTGAAAATGGAATTGAAAAGTGAATGAGAGAGTTGAACTTGGGCAACCAGTTGGGAAGTCATTGAGCAAAGCCCTGTGTTAGGAGGTGCCCATACCCTTTTCTTAGGAAAAGCAGCAGGTCCTCACAGACCCCCGGGGGGTCTGAAAACTGACAGCTGTGTTAGGAGGTGCCCATACTTGTCTGCATAGGGGGCAACAGGTCCTCCCAGGCCCCTTTTTGGCCTGAAAATTGATGGTTGTGTTCCCTGGAAAGGAGGTGCCTGTACTCTGTGAGGGAACCAGAGTCCTCCTGGACTTTTTTTTTGTCCAAAAACTGATGGCTGTGAACTAACTAATCCAAAATGAGCCGCACATTGGAAGGGAAACACAGGAAGCTGTAGCTCGAGGGTTGTGACAGGAACCCCCTCTCCCCACCCCCCAGGAGGTTTGCTCATGGAATGGGATGACAGGCAAACTGCCCATCCTGCTGGAAAGAAAAAGATGTGAGCAAGGAAATTGGGTAAAGATTGGGCTTTGCTCAGGGACAAAGCTGGAAAAACAATTTGACTAAATAAAGGTACTTAAAAAGAAAAGGGAAATATATAAATAGGAATGTTGATTTCCCCCCCCCCCTTTCTTTCTTCCTCTCTGTCTTCTATGCAGCGATGTAATATGTTTGTTGAGATTTGTCCCTTCCCTAATTGGAGTTAACTGAGATTTATGGTGGGAATGACCAGGGTGTGAACCTGAGATTCTGCTGTTCTTTTCTTTCTCTTTTCCTTGTCTTTGTATGTGTGTGTCTGTCAAAGTCTGTGTGTGTTAGATAAATATAACTGTTAAATGTCTGTTAGAAAGAAAGAAAAAAAGAAGTTAAGCAATGAAAAGAAAAATATCTTCACCCTAGGTTGCCTGGCCAGCAAAACAAGGTGAAGAGAACTGTATCCCTTTCCCCCTCCCTTCTTTCTTTCCTCCCTGTAACATTAAAACAGCCCAGGTTTGTCAGGAGAGAAGGGGTGTTGGTCCTACCTGAGATGCACCTTCTCGTTGGGTGGAGACAGCAGCCAGGCATGGGTTGTACTCGTCTGTTCAGATTGATGGACTGAGTCTGTCACAGCTGTTAAGTCCTGCCCCTGTTGCTAGGGGGTTCCAGCTTTTGGCAAAGACGAAGAAACAGACTCGATGTGTGGGAGAGAAAAACAGTTGTTAGCAAAACAGGACCAGACAGAAAAGGGTGGGGCTGGCTGCTGTCTCCACCCAACGAGAAGGTGCGTCTCAGGTACGATCAACGCCCCTTCTCTATTGTGGGTGGAGACAGCAGCCAGGCATGGGACATACCAAAGTTCACTGTCCCTCGGTACGGGCGGGCCCCATCTGGTCCGAAGACTCCCTCCCAGTATGAACCCTTTGCAGCACCCTACGTCCAAATGCTGCCTCAGCTGAGGCGAACTTGTTCAACTTGTAGTGCTGCACAAAGAAAGAAGGGGAAGTCCAAGTTGCCGCCCTGCAGATCTCCAACAACGATGCCTGTGTGGCCCAGGCTGCTGACGTCACCGCGCTGTGGGTCGAATGCGCGGCCAGGTGAGTTGGTCGAGGCAGGGAACGCAGTTCATACGCCTTAGCGATCGTCTGCCGGATCCATTGTCCGATCGTTGAAGAAGTCACCTTATTACCTAAAGAGACTGGGAGAAACGACACAAACAAAGATTCCGTTCTGCGGAAATTAGCAGTCCTCTTAAGGTAAATCCGGAGAGCCCTCCGGACGTCCAACTTATGCCATTGCTGTTCCAGGGGGTGTGCAGGATGAGGGCAGAAGTCTGGAAGGATGAGTTTCTGCATACGGTGAAAAGGTGAGTTAATATTAGGGATAAAGGTAGGGTCAAGACGAAGAACCACTTGATCCACATGGAACACGCAGAGGTCACTGCGAGTAGACAGAGTGGCGATCTCTGAGATTCGTCTTGCAGAAGTGATAGCAATAAAAAATGCGACTTTACATGATAATAGTCTAAGGCTAGCTGTCTGTAAGGGCTTGTACAGGGGACCCGTAAGGGAATTCAGAACAATGAACAAGTCCCAGGTGGTGTACCGGTGCAGCACCGGAGGAGACAAGTTAGTGGCACCACGCAGAAATCTACGAATAAGAGGATGCTGAGACAAGGAGGTCAGGGAACCACAAGTGAGGACCGATGATATAGCCGCCACTTGCCTCCAAAGCATATTGGGCGAAAGGCCGTTGTTGAGCCCGTCTTGGAGGAAAACCAGTACATGGACAATCGAAGCTCAAAAGGCTGAAACCCCTTGACGAACACACCAATTACAAAAGGCCCACCAGGTGGCCAAATAAATGTGGTCGGTAGACGGCCTTCGTGATGCCTGAATGGTTCGAATAACGTCAGAGGGAATATTGGCCCCACTCAGAGTGCACCGCTCAACCTCCAGGCGGTCATCCGGAGCAACTGAGGATCCGGGTGGAGTACTGCCCCCTGAATGAGAGAGTCTGCCCTCTGGGGAATCTGCCAGGCCGGAGCCACTGACAATGACATGAGGTCTGCAAACCATGGCCTCCTCAGCCAATGAGGAGCCAGAAGTATGAGTTCCGCCCATTCCTGCAACAACCTTTGTACCACCTTCGGGAGGAAGGAAATCGGAGGAAAAGTGTAGAGGAGACCATGTGGCCACGGAGACCGAAGGGCATCAATGGCTTCCACCTGAGGAGTTGGGAATCACGCGGAAGCTGAGCATTCTCCTGTATCGCGAACAAGTCGACCTCTGGGGTGCCGAAATGGGCCGTCAGGTCCCTGAAAATCGGTGGGTGCAGGCGCCACTCCGCGTGGTCGATGTCCTGCTGACTCAACCAGTCCGCCCACACATTGGCCACCATGGAGATATGCTCCCCCCTCAAGGAGCAAAGGTGACATTTTGTCCAAAGCTCCAACCTCTTGGCTTCTAACATCAGGGACTTGGACCTCATGCCCCCCAGATGGTTGATGTGCGCCTTTGCCGCCACATTGTCTGTGAGTATGAGAACGTGGGAGCCGGACAGTAGGTGCAGGAAAGCATGAAGGGTGAGCAATATCGCCCTCAACTTCAGGAAATTGATGTTCCGCCAACTCTTGCTTGCACTCCACCTGCCCTGTGCCACTTGCCCCTGACAATGTGCCCCCAGCCGTAAAGGCTGGAGTCCGTTGTCACCAACAACCTCTGGGGCTCGAAGAAGTGGCACCCCTTGGTGATGGCCGGGGATCGCCACCATCTGAAGGATCTGAGTACGTCCCTGGGAACAGGGACTTTGACTGATGATGTGCCTCTGCCAGCCTTCTGAAATGGTAAAAGGAACCATTGGAGGTCTCTTGAGTGTAATGGGGCCCAGGGAATGATAGAAATAGCTAAAAGTATCTTACCCAGGAGCTGGGAAAGTAGTAAAGGAGATGCCCTCCTGCACCCCTCCACCTTGGCTACCAGGGCCACTAGGCTATCCTGATACTCCTGGGATAGATAAACCCTGCCCTCAACCGAGTCAATTAGTGCTCCCAAATGGAGCAGACGAGTGGAAGGAGTCAGATGACTCTTCTCCACATTAATGGAGAATCCATGGGATGTGAGGGCCTGAAGGGTTAACTGGAGGTCCAGACGGGCCTGTTGAGTAGAGGTGGACAAAATTAAAATGTCATCCAAGTAACACTGGAGATGAATAGATTTAGCCCTGAGGGAAGATACCAAGGCTGCTAAAACTCTGGTAAAGCAGCAGGGAGTGGAGGAGAAGCCAAAGGACAAAGCCCGATATTGATAATGGGCCCCAGCATAACAGAATCTAAGGAACTTCCTATGAGAAGGTAGGATAGGGATATGAAGATAGGCCTCAGTGAGGTCAATAGAAGAGAGAAGATCGCCCTTCCTAACACCATCTAAGATGGAGCGCAAAGACTGCATTTTGAACCGGCGGTATACTACATAATGGTTCAGATGTTTAAGGTCCAGAATAGGTCTCCACCCCCCCTGATGACTTGGGAACAAGGAAACATGGGAATAAAATCCTTGCCCCACTTGATCCACAGGCACTCATTGTATGGCCCTGATCGATAGCAGCTGCTGAACCGCCGAGTCTATAAGGGCTCGTCTATCACTGTTATGAGAAAGTGGACAGCTCACAAAAAACATTGGGGGGGAGGGAAGGAATTCAATGGCCAAACCCGATCTTATAGTGGCCAGGACCCATCTATCAGAAGAAGTTCTCTCCCAAAGGTTGGCGAAGAGAGCCAATCTGCCACCAATGGGAGGACCAGAAATGCAGGTAGCAACGGGGTTGGAGTGAATGACCTCCTCCCCCTCGAAAGGGCCGTTTATTCAAAAAGGGTCTATCTCTGGAAAACCTGTCCTGGGATACGTGCTGCCTCGGAGAAAAACCTCCTGTAAAACGGGACGAACCACCCCCGCCGTCCATTCCCCGAGACTGGGCGTGATAGGAATATGGGAGAAAACAGGGATCCCCCCTATGCCGTGCAGTTGGTAAAACCTTCCGCTTGTCCTTGGTCTAAATAAGGACTCTAGAGGATCCCCAAATAATTTGGCTCCCATAAAGGGAACAGATGCCAAACGTCACTTGTGCCTAGCATCTGCCTGCCAATGATGAAGCCAGACCAAACAGTGTGCCATGATCGAAGAGGAAAGGGACTTGGAGGCGAAGTGGGCGGCGTTGAGTGTGGCATCCGTGGAGAATTGGATTGCTGAAATAATCTTGTTCAAAACCTGCTTTATTCACATATCGTCCGGTGAAAGCTTCTCTTGCAACTGCCGCAACCACAATAATGCCGCCCGATTGAAGAAGGAAGTGGTGGTAGCTGACTGGATTGCCCATGCCGCCCCTAAATGAGCTCGTTGCATGACTTAGTCAGACCTATGCTCCTCCGGACGGAGTCCTTCATCCGGATCTCCGGGAGCCGAAGCATTGGGTAGCAAGGCAGCCACTGGCGTGTCCACTATCGGAACTTAGAGGATAGAGGCCAAGTCAGAAGTGACATTAAAGTACTTCCGGTCAGTAGCTGATGGAGTTGGAGCGGATCCAGGTGTGGCCCACTGCCTTTGAGCAATGCCGAAAAACAGAGGAGTGGGAATAGTGTCCACTGGTTTGGACAGCTCCGCAAACAGAGGATTTAGTGCAGACTGCGAAGGAGGAGGAGCTGCAGTCGAGGAAACAGTACCAAGTTGAGCTGTGTTGACAGCCTTGAACAACAAGGACTTAAATAAGGCCTGAGGGAAAAGTCCAGTGAAGAAGGGCTGCTCTGGAGGGAGACCTTCGTCCTCAGACAAATCTGGCTCTGGAGGCTCGTCCTCACCCAGATATGAGGTATGAGTCAGCTGGAATTGAGCCGGGGAATCAGGGTCCCCTTCAGAAATGGGATCCTCTAAGCAATCGGATGCGATCGCACTGAAGTCCTTCTGCTTGAGGACTGAAAGCGAACCGACAAGGACTGCTGAACTGCAGCGTCAACCATATGTTGGAAATTGTCAGGCAACAAAAAATTACAACCGCGGTTGTCGACAGGAGCAACCTCCGTGGAGGTTAAGGCAGCTGAAGTCAGAGCATGTACCGGGTCTAAAGTGGAAGAAGGAACTGAAGTTTCTGCCACTGCCGAAGTCATGGGAGGATTGGAAGTTCCCCATAAACAGGAAGTTTGAATAGATATTGGGCAGTCTTGAAGAGACATCTGGTCTGATGGTAAGGTCGAAGTGCTAGTTCCAGAGGCCTCCATGAGAGAGACACCGTCACCCCTGGGAAGAGTCGATGATTGTCAGTGACTGCAGGCCTTGTCACAAAGTTTGTTCAACACTTTATCCCGGCATTGCTCAGCCCTCAAGGGGGCAGAAGAATGAGGCTTGGTTTTATGGTGAGGTCATGAGACCTTGCTGCCAGAAGTTTTAGCTGGATGACCACTACTGTGCATGGTTTTAGAAACCCCAGTGCTTTAGAAGCCCCAGCACTAGGCAGTAAATGCTCATCGACCCGGGCCCTTCGATCGTGCTTTGATTTTGATAAGGCCTTAGGCATTTTCAAAGATGTGATGCCAAATAAGTGAAATTTTCCACCAGTAAACTCAACTCAATCTCATGAGGCAGTCAGAGACCGGTGAACTGGCTGGTAGGGCAGCAACAGCAAACAAAATGGCCGCCTGCTGGGCAATTCACAAAATGGCCACCAAAGCGGCAGGGCAGGCTGAGGTAACAAGCTGAGGTGGATTAGCCAAGGGCAGACAAGCCCATCCATTGAGGAGTGGCAACGGAAAAGTCAGCAGGGGACCCCAAATATAGGAGCCCTTAGTACCCAGGCAAAGACCACAGTCTGGAGACCAGTAGGGCCACGGCTCAGCACTGTTGCTACAGACAAGGGAGATGGCAAGCAAGAGGTGGGCAACAAAATCGCAGGCGTCACAGTCAACAGCACAGGGAGCACGAAGCTCCACGTAAGGTCCAATTGCCCCAGTTATTAAGTGCAGGTGTGCAACAAAGGTTGAGGGAGCTGAAGCTCAAGTCGAAAATGGCTCCTTCAGGATCAGGGCTTTGCCGACAAAAAAAAAAAAGCCAGCCGTTCGATTAACTCCTAGGCTGACAAAATGGCGGCACCAAGTTTATGTCGCTTTCAGGAGCACGAAGCTCCATTCAATGTCTGCCAGCCACACTCCAATAAGGGCTGGAGCACGAAGCGCCGAAAACCCCTTGACCAATAGCTGAAAGCTAATCGCTCGACTCCAGCCACGAAGGAGCGAAACAAAGCTTCAAAGTTCGACAATGATCAGTCGGGCCGCTTCAAAGGCATCACAAAGTCAGCCGGCCTGATTAAGGGGAGCGTGAGACTCCTCAACTACACTAGCCGGTGGGAGCACGAAACTCCGCTCAGGCCCATCCCAGCTTAACCGGGAGCGCAAAGCTCCACAATATTCGGAATGCTCTTCAGATCAATGGAGGGCTTTAGCAGTCACAATAGGAAAGCTGGGATCGGAAAAGAGAAGGGTAGCCAAAACTAGCCACAAACAGATAAGGGCCAAATCCACGAAGGTGGAAGAGGCCAATTTACAGCCAAAGTCAAACAAGTCCAATCCAATGTCCAAGTCAAAGTCAAAGTCCAAATCCAAGATCAAACTGAGAAAAAAGTTCAACTGTCAAATCCACTAAAAATAATAGCAATAGTATGCCAGAGACACAGCCACACACGTCTGTCCAGACTGATGGACTGAGTCAAAAGCTGGAATCCCCTAGCAACAGGGGTGGGATTTAACAGCTATGAAAGACTCAGTCCATCAATCTGAACAGATGAATACAACCCATGTCTGGCTGCTGTCTCCACCCACAATGCTGAATGAGAATGTTGAAACTCATTCAGAAAAAAATGTTGTTTGTTTGTTTTCATTTACTGTATGTTCTGTAAGGGGATTTTCATCTGTCCATCCATTCACATCCTGAAGCATGTGAATCCATCTTCTTTTTCTCATCTGTGGTGTCCCCATTTTGTTGTGACTGGTTTATCTGTTTAACAACTGCAGTACCGATGTGTTTTTTCTTCTCAAACTCTGCCTGCAAGCTATCTAT